ACAGCGGCACTGACCTGGTCCCATCGGGGCCAGTCCTGATAAGCGTAAAAGACTGAAGTACTCAGACACCAGATAAACAGGCGTCACCTAAGAGCTCAGAGGGACCTGGAACCCAGAGCAAGCGGATCCAGGTGTTCCTGGACAGGCACAGAGCCAGCTTCTATGATTCAAAACTCAAAGGAGACAGAAGCCCCAAGGATGCAACACTGAACACAACAGTGGGGCACGGACCTTTGACGGCACCGGTTGGCTTGGAACCAGGACAGGAACGTGCAAAGTGCTGCAGTTCCGCTCATGTTGCCCCTGGAACCAGAACCTCCCCACATCCCCAGTCGGCACGCACATGGAGTGTCAAAAAGCTCTCCTGCCAGCGCTTACACTCTTGGAATCTGGAGTTTCACTGAGTTATTTATCATTAAAAAATCTGACCTCCTGTCAGATTTTCCTTTTGCTCACGTAGCTCATAGGGTGGAACCACTCTGTTAAACCCCTGCAGACCACAAGTTCAATTTTGCCTGAGACCCCCCAAGCTTCACTGAATCCCAAGAAAGCTTCTGAGAAAAAGAATTTGTATCTGTTATCATGCAAGTTCTAGTACCATTAGCCCAAACACCCCAGCATTTAACACAAAGACAGGCCTTACCTAGGACTACGAGGAGGATCTTCTGAAAGGCGTTAGACAAAGCCTTCCCGACTGCGAGTTTCTGAACTCTTCCTGAGGCTGTGACAAACTCGAGAGGATCTGAACACAACACGCAGCACGTTACCGACTTTCAGACGACACTCTGGACATCAAGCACACCGGCTGCACGGCGCGAGGAAGCGTACCCAAACACAGCCTTACGGGGCTGTAAGAGAGCTGCTCATGTCTCGGGAGTCTCTGGCAGCGTGGCAGGACCCTCACAGTGCTTTGTGTGCCAACCCACAGCAGCACACGATCCTCAGCCCCAGGTCGGGACCCTGCCCAGGGCAGTGGGCAGCGCAGAGCCCCGCTGGCACCTGAGCCGTGCCGCAGGCACAGTGTACGAAACATATGTGAAATATATTGAACGAAACGAAACATATGAACATGAACATGGCATGTTCACAGCAGCAGTGGCTGCGAAGGGGAATGGATAACCCCGCAGGCGAGAGGGAGAGAACAGAGGGTAGGAAAGCGGCCCTGGTGCGACGCGGGGAGGGAAGAGGCATGCTCAGCACCCCTTGCTGCGTAACACAGCAGCTCACAAGGCCCCACACTGATCCTTGCCTCCAGCTAAATTCAGAGAATGCAGACTCACAAACTGTGCAACCACAGGGTTGCCCAATGTCTGCGCCAGCTGCTCCGAGAGACTTTCAGCTGCATCCAGAACGAACCTTCACTCTTCTCTACGTCAGCCTCGCCGAGGGCAACTCCCCTGGAGCGTAGCCCATGGTTGGGCAGTGCCACCTCTACAGCACACAGGTATTTCACGGATCGCTTCTGT